TACCAAAACACCGTTTGAAATAAGCCTCTGTACTAATGACGTCACACTTTGTTTACATGTGCATTTTCCTATGGAGCCAGCGGGGGTCCACGGTCCACTGAGCACGTACCATAGGAAAGTGCACATGTAGACAAAGTGTGACGTCATTAGTACAGAGGCTTCGCAAGTCGTGATAAGCTTAATGAATTGTGACAAAAACGTTTCATCCTCTAGTTTGGGGAAAGCGATTTTTGATTGACTTGCGTGTCGGACTTGAAAAGCATCTCTTGATTCGGCGTCACGTGACCTTAATACGCCAACCATTTTGCGAGTTTAACTTCTATGTGGTCAAATTCTAAAAGCATGGGGAAGATTTTCGGGTGCAAGATATTAATTGCTCTGGATCTCAAATTGATTTTATAGTGCAGAAAGGTAGCAATTTTATTTTGTATTCTGTACCTCGTAACTCGATTGGATCGTAAGAAAGTTAAGGTTTTTGATGGAAAGCGGCGGTTTTTTCTTACGTATTGCTTTGTCAATATCTATTCTGAATGTGGTTTTTAAACTACATAAGCATCTATGGGGCAAACACCTTTTTTTGCACTCCGAGCTCTTGTGAATTCCAGACTTCGAAATTGACATGCCTGGCCTTCGTGTCGAATTCTTTGACAAATTGGAGATTTTGGTCCTTGTTTCTATGTGTGATTCTCCTGGGTTTTCCTAATTTCCTCTATCCCATCTAAATTAAAGTTCCCCCTGTCTCGACCAAGGCCACATGTCCTTTTTTTCGTAGATACACGGAGGGATATACTCTCTTATGTTGGGAGGGTGGGGTTGCAAAAGAGGTTGTTAATCATAAAAGTGTTGTTTCAATCTCTAAAATGTAAGAAAAGCAACTTACGGGCTGACATCCAGTGACGGCTTATTTCAAAATGGACCTTAAATTTCGAAAATTACAACGATGCCTTAGAGACACAAATAGGGGCCTATGCATGTAGAAATACTGTATTAGCTTCATTTGGTGTTTATTCGTTTAAATAATTTAACGTTACGGTAAGCAGATATCCATGATGTTGGACATATTTTCTTAGGCCTTACTGCCTTTGAGATTGCAAGCAAGAGAAACAATCAATGGAGAAAAGAAGTACAATGATCCCAACCAAAAGAAAAATAGAGGAACATTATTAACCAACAATTACATCGTGCATTATAATCAGGAGATAATTTACCATGCGGGTCAACAGAAGAGGAGGCAATATCGACTCCACACTTGAAACGTGACGAGAGTATAAATTTACTTTATTTTTAACATGAGAAAGTAAATCTTACTTCAAAAGTATACAGTTATGTATTCGGTATACCATTCTGCACGGTGTATCAAAATAAAGGTTGTCGAAAGTAATGGGTTAATATGTAAAAGTTATTAACTTGAACACTATCATAGCGGCTCCATCTTAAAAGGTGGTTCATTAACCTTTTTCAAGTGTGCCAAGTAAGTGGTGAGTGAAGCTATCGGATAAATTTGCTCGCAGAGGACTGTGCGTTGAAAGGGGTTATGTTGCAGATCATGTTGATGTTCTTGAATTGTTACTTCATGTTGCCATGAATTTTGCCCTACACGTTTTTCCTACACAAAATATGAAAGTCGCTTGTTTATGTCATCGTATAGTCCTGGTGTTGTAGAGGTTAAGACGTATCCGGAAAGTGCGTTGACCACGACTTCGAAATTCAGCGTGAGCGGTTGCCGTCGCCAGCTCATGTGTAGACTTTCATTGAGGGCCATTTTCAACGCTAGACTTACGCCACCGCGTGTCACATACCCGAACTCGAGACGGTGAACGACCGTGCAAGCAGAGCCTCGAAACGAGGCCAGCGAAGCGTGTGTATTACAACGACGCCGTGCATCCTCGAACCGGCAGGGCTAGCAGAGCTAGAGATTCGTTATTGCAAGCCAACCCATTGTCACATTACTAAAATAGTTTCATTTTGGTGTGGGTATAAATATTAATAATAACATCAGTCGTTTTCTTATTTTATAGTCTTCTCCTCGAGTTGTAACAATGTACGCCACTACAGAAAAGAATCACGTCAGATGGGGTAGACTCGGGCTAAAAAAAAAAGTCGTAACAATTCGTACGAAAACGTCACTACTCAATGTTCCATTTTTGTTATTGTTGATTTATTCCCTTTTTTGCACCCTTGTCCATCCCTAACAAATCTTGATGGCGTCACTTTTGAGACCCGCACAAAAAGCATAATTTCGCCACAGTCATAAGCTCCATGTATCAGGGATAAGGTTATTAATGATGCACCTGAAATTCAGGAAATTAAAAAAATTCTGATTCACCCACGGAGCAGAGAGAAACATAGTTGCATCGAGAAATGTGCGGGACAGATGGCAGTATGTTTCATTCAGATGCACCTGTAGGCCCCATTTATCTTTCCAAATCTTGATGAATCACTGGACTCTGAACGAGTCACGCAGACTAAAGGGAGAGCAAATGGTGTGTGACCTTTTCCGTCTCAGGGAAACAAATGGACCGATCCAGTAAGCACCGCCCCATGGTGTTCAGACCAATCACAGCCGTGATTTAGGTCCGACGTGCGTGCACTAAAGTCCGACATGCGTGCACGCGCGTATGATGCGCGCGGAAAGAAAATGCAGCGTGGCATTGGAGAGGAGCACGTGTTAATTTGCAAACGTGCGCAAAGGGCGGAGCTTACTGGATCGGTCCATTGACCTATCGCCGTTTGCGAGTAAGCCACACCCCTAAGACAACCCTATGGGATTTTTGTACACTTAAGTTTTGTTTGTCTCAGATGTTGCGCGTTCCGCGTCCATTTGTATATCATTTAATTGGACAATATTTCACAAGCTGCGTCGACGCGCTTCTAACGCGCTTCTACCGGGATAGTTCTACCGCGATAGGTCAATTCTGAAAATTCCACCTTATGAACAATTCTGAAAGATCATCATGCACACGTACTTTTATATTCAACTGACTTCATTCAAACGTTTTTTTTTTTCAAAGGATACAATTATGAAAACTATTTTCGTATTTCAAGAACTGAAATAGACTCTTTTTAAAGGGGAATTACGGTCTGAAATCCCCGAAACTTTGATGTTTTGGATTGTTCACTTAACCTATTTCAAAGGTCTGGTTGAAAGGAAACTAACCTAAAATGTCTTACCGTTCCCGAGAAAAGACGAGAACACCCCGGTTGTTTATATCGGACGCGGCGGACATTTTGTGGCATACCCATACGTATTTCCAGTGTCCACATAATGTACGGTATACGTTGTGTGTGTGTCACATGATACACACATCGCTGTTACACACATGTTGTTTCTTGCACGTCCGCAGAATGCGATGCACTGTGCCGCAGGATTCACAACTAACACTCAACAGCTCGATTTTTTTGAGAGTCAACAGTTTTTCTCGCATGGTTCTCGCAAGTACAACACAAAACGCCCAGTTTTTAAAGGATGGTTGTGTAGAAGTTTATATCCTACTTTAAATGCTTTTTCCAATTTATATCATTTCGTTTAAAATGCGTTTTGTAGGCCAATTAGGCGCATTTCAGGACGCAATATCCCTTTAATGACAATACCTGGTGTCCTTACCCCTTGACAAAATATATTTCTGAGAAAAATAATAATTTTGGCCATTTTTTTCATACCAGTTCAAATATTCTCAATTTAATCGCATCTCCCCGGACCTTAAACATTGAGGACAAAAATATTTCTTCAGGCATACTGCTTTATGCTTCAAATTTGTAAGAGTGGAAAACACTTTAACCTTAGCACTCCTAAATCCTCCAGTTTTAATAGTGTTTTTTTTTTTAAAACACCCTATGAATTTAAAAGAGAATGCATTTATCAAAAAACTTTGTAAGTTTGTATCGGCTAATATCATGCATCAATCATGCATTGGATTAATAAGAGCAAAATGTATCGCCTATTCGAGCCGATGTGGACACGCGCGTACAATGAAAATCCACGGTGCGACCTGGAAATTACGATTGATACACCGAGCAAAGTCCACACGTCAGAACACACCTAGAAAGATGCTCCGTTTCTCACGCACTCCTCTGAAATATTAACCACGTTTTTGTACCCATTTTCATTGATAGCTAAGTGTATGTGACTTGGTCCCACGCTACGAAAGGCATTCTCATCATTTAAGACGCGAGACCGAGGTTGCTCTTAAAATGAAGACATATTTGTTGGCATTCTTAGGAGTGCATGACACACGCACGTTGTTATTTTGTGAAGTGTTTGCACAAAATATGGGTATAAATGTGATGTTTAAAAGCTTGAGTTCTTCTCGAGTTCTTCTTTTCGAACTATTTTCCCTGGATTAAACCTTTCCTGGAGGAAGTTCATCGAATAAACAGCTTGTAGTCAGGCTAAGGTTTCGAATTGACGTTGTGTAAAGTGTTGGTTCACTGTTTGAGTTTATCAAGCACTTTTATTTTAGCTGTTTTCATTTTGGTCAAGGAATACTTAAACTATTTTTTTTTAGGAACGTCTTGAAATCTTGGAGATTTAGTTAACATAAATTGAGACGCTTCATAATACTTTCCATTTTTATTTAACAACCCCCCCCCCCAAAAAAAAACAAAAAAATCCAAACTTGAAGGATTCTTGTATTTATGTAAGTAAAGGGTTAAAGCCAAATCCTTTAAGTCTAAAAGATACATCCACCAACTATGGTAACTCGTGTCTTCTCACTCGATTCTAAATCTTCAGCGTCTTCGGTTTCCAAAAACTGATCAATAATTTCCAAGGCCTGTACAAACTTTGAAACCCAATTTAAGCCAACCATACGTAGATATTCGTCTGGAGCCAAGTCGTAAATTAGATTTCCCGCCTTTTTTGCCCGCTGGAAATCCTCCCCACTCAGCGTTACGACTTATTACCTTACGCGGTTAGATATACGTTCGTATACAAGATAAACACAGCCCCTTCTCCGATCGATAAACTCTCCGACTGTTGATTCTGTTTTCTTGCCATCCAGGTGGGGCTCGATTAAAGAGACAGGCATCTACGTTGGCATAGCAACGGCCTGCCTCCTAACCATCATCTTCGTCTTCACCTACTGTCGCTCAGACACCTACCCCTGCGTGGGGGCGCTACAGCGACGTGTCAAGTACGGGAAGGACGCCTGCCTGGACGCCATCTGCTTCTGCGACTGTTTTAAGTGAGAAATCTCTGACTTGATTTTGGAATCATTTCACAAGATAATACTGATACTTTTATTAAATTAATGACACAAGGTTGTGACCGTGGATAGCTCCTGCAGGGCTAAGATGGCATGCAGATGTTTCTTTTCTTTTCAAACGTCGAGCGCCATTTCGTGTAAGGCCTGCCACAAAACTGCGTAAATTGAATTCGTGTGCGACAAAAGACTTTTGCGACAAACATGCACATATGTACACGCCTGTATACTTCTTAAGAGGGAGATTTTCATTTAGGTTTTGAAAGTAGCCTGTTTTAGACTGTTTAGTCTTAACATGTAGTTGAATGGTTCATTGTAAAATAAGAGGTCATTTTTATTTTGAAATTATGCCTCTCATACTCTCCAACCGGTTGGCCGAAAAGACTACGGTTTTGACGTAGCTCAAGGAAGGTCTCTACCATCACATTCAATGGCGTCCAAGCATATGCAAAACGTATTTAAATCAATATTACAGTCTTGATGTAGTCATATATACCTCATTATTTTTTTTATAAATTACGCACGAACTTCTTGACAGCACAGACTCAAATAAACGCGGGTCAATCACAACGTGTATTTGGATTGTATTATTTAAAACAAATGTCGCTATACTCGGCCAGATAGCATCCGCTTTCTTACACATGATGCGATTGTGCTTTTGTCAACAGAGGGCGCTCTAAGTCAAATTCATAACCTTTCGTGACCCGTAATTTTTTTACAGGACGAAACGGAAGACCCAGCGGCGACTAGAGGCGACCAAACTGAACCAGATCGAACCGCTCTGTGAAAGGACAGGCAGCCAGGAGCAGCTCGTAGTGCCCATGGTTGTGCTGGAGGACAAGCAACAATTCTGGTGGTAGTCTGCGGTGTGCTGTGGAATTTGGACTCTGAGAAAAATTCGGACTTATTCACCGCATGCACTGCGCATTGGTGTTGTAACACGAGAACTGACATGCTTCGTGTGCCGCCGACGGGAACTTTTACGAGTCGAAATTTCATGTCAGGTTACATATGGACACGGACATTGGCAAGTCCGTTTTTCATAATTGTTGCAAATTTTGTCTGATTAATAAGAAATTGGGAGTTATCTTTCCAATGCAGTTCACTTCTTCTATGTGTATAATGTTTAACATCCCTCGGGCTATAAAGAAAAGTATGTCTCATATTTCGTCATCCGACACTTCGAATTTTTTGAATCGTTCGGGCTTGCTAACGTCTAAGGCCGGCCTCAGGTCGACCCGTGATTTGCTTGCGCCACGACGGAACCGTCGGCATCAAGCAGAAAACGCTCAGGTCACAAAAGAAGAAATCGTGTGATGGTCGCGGAACACGTCGCAGAAGTTGAATTTTTTTCTACTCTTGCGACTGTTGATTTTTTTTGAGCGCAAACTGAAGCCGATCGTTTTAATATCGTTGCAGTTACACTGAGGTCGCACAAAATCGGCGACTGAAATGTTCCCGACGGTCGTAGCTCAGGCGCAGCTTGATCCGGAAAAGTCAGTTGCCGACTGATCTGTGTCGTCGCAAGGTCGACCTGAGGCCGGCTGTAGTCTCTGATTTTGGAGTTTTCAATTCGTACAATGAGTAATAGTCAATACACGTGCACGTTTGGAGACTATACGTATTGGATATCTGTTAATTGTTAACTTTTCTATAAGGTACTAAATGAGAACTTTTTACTCATCATCTTTCGCCTCACTGAATAGTTGCGTGCAATTTTGAACGGATTTGGACTTGACTGCGAGTACTTTAGTCGGTGGAGATTTGTTCGAACATTACAAGCTTTTAATGACAAAGCCAAACCGGAAACGAAACCTACCTTTTAAAAAGGGTCATCTTGCCTATTTTAAGTCCAGTGGCGATCTTACGTCATGGCGTCGGGGAATTGTCAGGTCAGGGAACCAGACTACTGAGGGCGCTGTAGTGATGACATTTTTTAATTTAACAAACGCTATAATTTACATTGTTTTAGAGCAATTAACTGAACTTTTCTCAATCTAATGTAAAAACTACATACAATTATTTTTCAACCACACGTGGATTCACTGATATTTACCCAAAATATTTTGAATATACAGCGCCCTCATTCGGCCTATATTAAGATAAAAAGAAATGAGTTTATCTGGGGAAGATGTACTGATTAAAAGGGAGGCAAGACCTTCGAAATCAGCACTCTCGGTTAATAACTTCTCGAAATTGTTATTGCAAAGTTGTACATAAAATATCCAAAATTGTTAACTTAAAGGTCTTGTCTTCAAAATGAAGAGGATATAATATATTTATACAAGGAAATAAATTATTGATAAATTTGACTTTTTACAATAATTGTATATTATACGAGGAGTAGCCAGAGAAGCTGTACTATATTTTCTGCTTTTGAACAAAAGAGGGCGATGTTGTGAGGTCAGGTTAGAAATTGAAAACGTGAATTCAAAATATCTGAAAATGTCTGTCCAATAGTTTATTCATGTTCTATTAAACTGCAATGCAATGTTTCAAACGGTATATGGTTTAATTCTGTGGTTTTTAGTTTTTAGTGTTTGATATAATTATGTTTGCTGTTTTATACTGAAACGTGCACGCACTACTAATATGAATTTCATAAGTTACCCGTGATTTGTAAAAGGTGATTATTCTATTCGTGTGTTTGCTGAATTTTTTCGAATAATTATTATATAAAACCCCACCAGTGCTTGGGGTTCAATAATTTCCACATGAAATTCACAATAGACCGATTGTGCAAATCACAACCAGGGATTCAATTAATAAAAATTCTGGATTGCAACATTACGATACACTTTAGAAGTACATTGAAGCCCAGGCTGGATTTACATGTGCCTTTCCGCTGCACATGTATACGACTTACCAGTGGCCAACAGAGGGCGCACCCCAATTGCGATCTCCCATCTCCTATCGATTTAGTTCAGCGTGTATAGATCGACCGTTGTCAAAGGACCGCCTATTGAAAACGCCTCCCTCAAAATCGATCGTGGCCCAAATCTTCCCATGGACCATTACATCACACAAAGATACAATCGTCTTACTGCTATTACATACAATATAGTACCGTCCATGAACAAAACACGGCGGCCATTTTTGTCTAACAAGTTTTCCCCTTACTAACAAAGTCGGACACAAAATCTTGAATTTTGTAAAAAGTGCGCAAGAAAGTTGACTTGGTTCTGCCGATCGATGCATCCACCGACACAATGAGGCAGAAAAGAAAGACAGACGTACGAAAATGTTTGCAGTTAGTGTTCCTGGTGGTAACACTTCCGTTGGGAGGTGAGTATTAAAGTAACGTACCATGTCCTAACAGCTTTGAATAAAACTGATAAAAATGTGGCCATTCAGTCATATATCTGTGGTCACCTAATTATAGAGCTTCGGTCCCTCAAACTGTCAAGACATTTTTAAAACTAATCCCGGTGGCCACTTATCCGGAAGAAGGAGAATCTGAAAAAGACTGCTAGTCTTTGTCTTTCTGCCAAAGTTGCCCACACATAATTAACTTATGATGATGATTTCTATACCAATATTATGCATACTGTCGAGAATATTTGGTTCTCGTATGATCTCAAACGCTGGGTGTCGGCAAGTGGTTCGCTATAATAGACCACAGTTTCGGAGAAACTTGGACATCATGTTCAGCACTGAAATTCGGCTTCTTTTCGTCGTGAAGAAATGGACTTTCGGTGATTAATAAAAATTATTTCAATTATTTTCAAGGACTCTGATTTTTTTATTTTCATGTTTTGTGTTTTACGAGTTGGTGAAACACAAGAAATACCAGAGTTCCGAATCGTTTTTTCTCTAATAAAAAACCCCAATTCTACAACCTTAATTGAGGTTGGTGTAAAACTAAAACAAACAAAAATGGGGCAACAGACCTCCTATCAAAATTCATCAAGTTTGAGTTTAAATTTTGTGTTCCCTTGTTGTCAGTTCTCTCGACGCAGTGCCCGATCGATGCCAACCTGGATGTAGGCGAGCCGGGCAACAGCTACGAGTGTCCGGACACCTTGCCAGACGGTACGGACAATACCTACAACAGCTGCTGCCATAACGAGAGACCGGACGACAACGGGGACTATCACAGCTGCTGTGAGGACCCTGAGGTGGCAAGAGCTGGCAGGTAAAGTACTAGGGGGCGCTGTTCATGATACAATGTATGCAAATGCTTACATCAAAACGGCGCGTTGTAAGCTTTTGTACTTTTTTCTCCATTTTTCAGTGCTATTGTCATTTTGGTTGTTGGGACGGTTCGAAAAATACCTCGAAATCAGCATTTTTTGTTTCTCACCACGAAAAAGTGGGGGGGGGGGAATTATTCAATAGCCCATCCTTCCCTGGTTAAAAAGCGTGTGTGTGTGTGGGGGGGGGGGGGGGGTATATACCCTATCTCCCCACCCCGGGATTTACGCCCCCGAACAGCGGCACCAGCAGCAGTTTGCTGCATCGTTTGCAAACACGACTTTGCAATTAGACTTCAAAACAACCAACAACATGGTCAATGATCATAATTAACATGCAGAACACAAAAACCAACAACCCACAACCATCCCCAAAACCCGTTGCAATCACCATATTGTTCGTTTTCTCGTCACCGGGCAGCATGGCCAAGTTCTACGGTATGCTGGGCATCCTAGGCGGCGTGACCGGCGGTCTCATGTTGCTCGTCTACGTCAAGACCTACTGCAAGGATGACACGTGGCGGTGCCTGAAACCCATCAAGAGGGAGTGCAAGAAATGGTTCGACTTCACCATGGATGCCCTGTGCTTCTGTGGCTGCTGTCCCAAGTAAGTGAAGATCGTTTGCCTGCCAGGCTACCATGTTTTTGCGTTTTATTGTACGAGCAATGAGCAAGTTCGATACGATTTCCAAGATGGTTAACAAGCGGCTGCTCGGGCTTCGTGAAGTACACTCAACCAAAAAAGAAAGTCCCCTTCCAATACTGTTTTTGTCTAACTCAAAAACTACTGAGCACATCTCGCTCAAATTACGACTGATCAGTACAGAAATTCCTTAGCAATCCAGCCATACTCAACAGTGATAAGTGTACGAATTTATGCAATTTATGACAAATGATACCGAAAACAGTTTTGTATACGTGCAAGTTGTGGTTCACACTCACCTTGCACGTATACAAAAGTGCAACTTTTTTCGGTACAATTTGTCATAAATTGCATAATTTTTGTACACATTATTACTGTCTTGGGCAAAACAAGGAGTATGGCTGGATAGCCAAAGATTTTCTGTACTGATCAGTCGTCATTTGAGCAAGATGTGCCCAGTAGTATTTGAGTTAGACAATAAAGTATTAAGGGGGACTTTCTTTGTTGGTTGAGTTTATTTCTGGCCTGCACTGTACTTAAATATTCAAACGTGAACGTCATCAAATATTCAAAATGTCAACGTATTGGCTTTCCCAGAATCCGGACAGACTAGAAAGGCCGTCAGCGATTTTATTTTGGTGTTCGTTTACACACATTTTTAGGTTTTGTTGTTTGTTTTAACTTTCGCAGAAAACTTCGCCGGAAGACCAAAAAGGGCCACGAAATTCCCGACCAGAAGGGGGCGACAAACAACAACGAGACAGAAGACCCGGCTTCAGTGGAAGTCAATATGGACGAATTTTGGATGTAAAAAAGAGAAATTCTTCCAAACCACTAGCTGTCACTGAATCCACCGCCCTTTTCTACAAGCTTGTTTACCTACACGCTTTTCCAAAAGTCACGTTGATATTTGCAAGACTTCTTTGCTAAAAGAATGACTCTAGAAGTTTATTTAAGATATATTTGGCAACAAAAAATTGAGGAGAAATATTTCATTCAGCCTAAAAAAAATTCTGCTCTCTATATAATCTTGTGCTTGTTATTTTGTTGCACGAAATGTAACATTGATTTTCAAGAAACATCTGAAACAATGAATAAGGCTTAAACAAATATTACAAGTTTTCATGGATTGATCACCATTCTTTATTAAAAAAAAATTAATTTGTGTTCGTTCTAAAGTTGGAAAACAATTATTAATATGTACATAATTAGAAATATATACATCCTATTTAGGAAACACTATTAATATCAAACGTTTTTGCATGTATTTCATAGATATAAAAGCATTTTCTGTAAACACACGATTGAACAAAGTGCAATTTTGTACTGCAGTAGATATATAATGTGTTACTGTACTAGGCTAATGAGCCATGAATACTTTTAATTAGAAAAAAAATATTGAACAATAAAAAGTCTAAAGCCTAAAGGCAAAATTTACCTGTTTTTTTACTCCATAATCGCTTTGCTGGACTGAACATATTTCGCATTCCTAAAATAAATCACCATTAGAATTTTAGAAGTAAATTTCTGAAACAAAAGAGGCACACATCGCCATCAAAACTGCGCACATTCGGTGTGTTATAACATTGAAAACGTCATTAAATACGTTACAGATACTTTGCTATTTACTGGTTGAGAAAAAAAAATCGAAATATTACAAGCTATATTTTTCGGCAGTAATATACATTTTGTGTATAATTACTTGAAAGTCATCGTAAAGAATTTTATCAGAGCAAAAACAGGCGCTCTAAATTGGTACATAAAATGAAATTAGGGCAAAGAGATTTGTTTTTATTAAATATAATAATTGATACGGAAGACAAGTAATGAGGTTTTGGTACTTATTTTCTACTGACTATGAATTCAGTTTTAAAGCTTGTTTGTACAGAAATGATAAACTATGGCAAAATCGTCCTGGAAAGTAAAACTGAAACTTATGATTGCGCCATGAAGCTACACGAAAAACAAATCTACGAAATTAAATCAATCGTGCCAATATGGCCGCCCCGGCAACCAGCGTGAGGCTGAAGGTCACTGCGCCTGCGCCGTTGCACAGGTCATGCATCTGACAGCAGTAGACGCACGCGTCCGCGTTGTCGCATTTGTCCTCGCAGTTGTCCCCACCACAACCACGTATTGTGATTTTTCGATTAGTTTCCTCTTCCCTGGTGAATTGTTTCTGCGAACAAAATAAGACCACAGAAGAAACTGTAACTGTAAAAATCAGTGGGAAATTAGACAAGAGAACAAGGCCAACATACTAGCACGGTGTGCAGTATACTGCCCTCTTGCGTTATGTCAGTTGCCCCTTAACATGACGATAGATGACGGTATGCATGCTAAGCGTTGCAAGGATTAACGTGGAGATTATTGGGTGATTAGGTACAACAACAAAATTAAGACTTGACTTCAAGTGAAGAGGAAGTACTAATTATATTTTTCGCCAGGTTTTAATTAAAGAGGTAGGCTTTGCTAGCTAAAATGTAAATTAGATAAGTAGCTTTTAAATATGATGAAATCGTCACTTAAGATTTAATTTCAATTAGTTCTAGCTCCAATTCTGATAATGCCTTACTTATGAAGGCACATCGGCCCTATTTGAATTGTTCGTCCAGTTACGTCTTTGTCATGCCCTGTATTGTCTCGTTGTGTCTCGTCCAGTTTCGCTCTTTCTCGTGTCATCTCGTTCTGATTCAAGTCTCGTACCAACTCGTCCTTCACGCCTTGTCTCGTCATTTCTCGTTTAGCCTCACATCGTGTCATCCCACTTTGTCTAATCTCGTTTCGTCTCTTCTAGTGATATGTACGTCATCTTATGTCAAGTCTCGCCCCTTCTCGTCTTGTCTCGTCTTAACTCTTCTCATAGACATAATTCCAAGCTGCACAAACAAGTGAAGCTACGCGCTGGTTCCCGATCCCGTATTCGAATGTAGGGAGGGAACCAGTCTCAAACACTCCCATCGTTCAGAAAAAAAACCTAATATAGAACCATCTTAAAGTATACGAAAAGTTTTTGTTCTAAAGAGCAAAATTTATATAAATAAATATTTTGCTACCATTTTTATTTTTAGAAATACAAAAAAATTCTGTCGAGTAAAAAGGTGTATTTCAACTATATACGATATCATTTTTTTTTTACAAATCTATTGTTCTTGGAGTAGCAATATGGCGGACGGTTACTTCACACTGCGCAATAGTCGTAGCCTTGTTGCCATTTTGTGATTGGACAATGAACGACGTTCATTTGATGGTGTCTTCGTATCTCCAGTGCAAGTAGCTGCAAGCGCGGTCGCAAGTAGTACTGCTTACGCACCTGGGATCCGTCCGCACTCAGTTTACAATACGTTCAGAATCATTTTAGTGACGGTCTGTTTTCATAAATGAACATCATGTAAAGAAAATAAATTTCCAATTTTCCAAATAATCTATGATTACATCGTGAGATCGTTTAGACACATCCCCATAAATGCATGAAAGTGAATACGGAATTGGAGTGTTAAGTAATTCTTCCGGTCGCATTATCAATCCTTTTTAGATATTAGGGAGGTATTTTTTTTTAAATTAAAACAATGATTGAAGAGAAAAGCAGGGATCATAAATTAATAAATTTACATTCATAAAATATTTTTTTAAAGAAAGCATGAATATAGATGAATAATATAAGTTTCTTTTTAAAGAGAGAAGTAATTCTTCCATTCCCAAAGTTTATGCACAAAATTAATGTCCAACGAATCATTGCAGATAGCTTGCAATGTTCATTTAAATATCGAGATATATACACAGTAGGGTTTTGTGAAATGATTTTACTTTTCCCCCTTTCTGTATCATTATGTGAACGAAATGTGTCCGACAAAAAACCTGCAGAATCTGGTCTTGTACGATGAACATGTACATGTACATGCGGCGCCCGTACGTGTACATGTACATAGTACCGTACGTACTTGCGTACATGTACTTCAACGTCGTTAATTGACCAATCACAAAATGGCAACAAGGCTACGACTATTGCGCAGTTACTTCACTACTAAGAGCCAATGAGCTATCCAGAATTTGTTTACATGGAGATCAGTGATCCCATTCCCTCATACTAACCATACAGAACCGTGGGCATTCGATCTTCCCGATCCTCGGGTCTTCCCGGAAGAAGCTCTCACGGTCGCATGAGCTGCCCGCGTAACCCTCGCAACTGTAGCAAAACTTGGCCTGGCTGTAACCTAATAACAGAAGATGGGGAACATGTATAAAAGTACATTAAAGGGCTCATGCAATGTAATTTTTGTATAAACGATCATTGAAAATACACCTTTGTGTCCTATTGTGTTGTTTTGCAATGTAACTTTTGTATAAACGATAACTGAAAATACACCTTTGTGTCCTATTATTTTAACCTTATTTTCAATTTTCGTTTGGCCATTTTCAAGGGTATTTTTGGTCCCTTTTTGCTTTTGTTGCTACTGCAAATTTACATTTTCATGAGCAAAAGTGTGACGTCATTTCAGGCAGAAACCCTCAACGTTACAGCTGTTTCAGCACCAAAGGTTGCCAGAAGTTTGGATATGTTGCTGTCCTAAATGTTCTTGTCTTTGGTGATTCGTTGTTGTGTCAGTAGCCTACATGGCAGTAACCCAATGAGCAAACTTTTCAAACAAATGTTTTCATTGAGCACATTTTGGGGTTCACAATTTGAACAGAAACCCCTAAACTGAACAGGGTCTTCCTTAAATTACATCATATCAACAGCGCCCTCTTTCGTCCGGAAAAGCATGGAATTTTGAAATGTTTCAAGAAGTGTATTCTTTAATAGAATTAACCAAAAGGGGATGTAATTTTTTTTTTACATACATTTAAGAGGAGTAGAAAGTCGCACAAAATATGTTCCTTAGAAAAATTCTTGTCGTGACCTCTTTAAATGAGTGACAGTAGAGGCAAGTAGATATATACCGAGTCTCAAAGTATAAGGATGTAGAGGGCCTATTTAGGTGGTGTTCAAAAGCTTGGGTTGAATGACCGCTTTAGATGACAAATAAGACGACGATTGTGACGATTGTGTAAAGCTGCTAATATTGATAACAGTGAAGATGACGAGGACAACAGTGACGAAATTATCAACGATATGGCGAAGAGAATCATGAAGAATTGGATATTAATGCCGCTGAAGGTGGTTGGGAGTGAGCGACAAAAATTGACCCATAATATCACGAAGGATGTATTAAGAGTGCACCCCAGTAAATATGTCAAAACTCCGTCCGCCGCACCGAGCACATGAATAAAAGTTACACATTAAAAGTATTCTATATTAGAGAGTTCTGAGAGCCATGGAATTAGGGGTTGAAGATATAGGGCACTGCACTTCTGGCCTGGACTTGAGGCTTCAAACTCTGAGTATTTTTTATTCAATTGGGCTCGAAAGTGGCGCTATTTAGGCCTAGCCATGTTGTGGAGGGATTCTTTTTCAAAATGGCTATTTTTTCAATTTGAAAAATATTATCCGTTTTATAGGGGTGGTCTTTTTTTTTGGTGAGAATTTGTCAAAAAATCATAGGGCAAACCACAAAAAAAATTGAAAAGAAAGTGATAGATGACATGTTGATCATCATTTTTTTTTTGTAGCCTGAACACCTGTGAGAGTTCTGAGTATTTTTAAAAGAATTTTGAAGTGTGGAGATTGAACATTAGTGTGTATGGGAATTTTTGTACTTGGTTGTACAAGAATGATGACAACATGGTGTAATGGTCGTAATGACGACGCGTGTTGGCGGTTATATAGTAATCAATATTGTAACAACAGTGATATCATAATGTAACTGGTGTCCTGGAACTTTTAAGTTTGGTTTTAAATTGTGTTCTTTCTTACCGATGCAGACCAACAACAACACGAGGATGCAAAGCGTCCGCGTCATGGTGGCAGTGTGTCAGGTCGTTGTTTCTGTGAAATCAAGAATCAGAGTAAGATGAGTGGCGGGTTATTCTGCAAGTGTGCCCAAGAGAAAAAATCTTCGGTCAGTTATTTTGTGAAATTATTCCTAATTTCAAGCTCCCATAGACCCGTTTACGTATGAATCGGTAATGTGCTACGGGCGTATACGTTGCATTGTATGGTGTGACAGTTTCCCCTATCAAAACGAGAACTTTTTGTTTGGGCAAAATTTCCCATATGCAGCACAACATTATATGCCTATCTTATTGGAACTTCATGGCCAATATAACTTATCTGAAAACTATCATGCCATAAAAACAAACCACTCACCCAATGTAACGACGCTTTCAGTTGCTTTCGGAGTCTAAATTACTTTGGAAAAGAGATCTCTTCAAATCCCACACACATGAAAATTAAGCCAAACAAAGATGGCCGAACGAGCAACGCTTCTGCCTATAAAATAACGACCTTTGAACCCGTAGAACGCTGTAACAGCAACCATCTCGGAGCTCTGTTAATTATTAACCAGATAAAAAAAAGGAGATAGACGTATTTTGCCGCCCCGCCATTTTTATGTCGTCTGTGGAAAGGAATGCGAAAGCAAATAAACGGGGATGTTCAATTCATTGGCCGTTAAAGATTAAAAACAAACCCGGGTTGATGTTGAAATGTGCTGTAAATATTTTATTTAATGATGAAAAACCATTTTGATGCAAACTTTTGTATCTGTTATTTTTTTTAAATAAAATCATCAAATATGTCCAGAGTGCTTTGGCGTGAATGCCTAACCGTTTTTCATTGACTAAGTCGACAATCGTAAATCAGCATTGTAAGGGATCACCTTTTATTCACATCGATGCGGTATTATGGACCGATTGTTAAATGCTATAAAGAATTATTCAAAAACTTTTAGAAGTATCTTCACAAAATACTGCACAATGACGAATATACGTGTTTGTTAGCTATAAAGGCAGGTTAACTCAGTTACGTCCATCTTGTTTGTCATTCTGTTTGCCTCATCGCAAATCTTTGTTTCGATATTTTAATACCACTTAACTTCTGGTAAAAGTGGTGAAACAAAAATGAGCAAAATTTTGAATTCTGTTTCGTGGGCTACCGTCATTAATTACGTCAAATGACTGCATGGCATGTCTATCCTACTTAGTCATATACCCTCACTTTTTCTACATCAGATTTATTGTGCATAAAGTGGTAATGGGAAAACAATAATAACAATTGACACATTCAAACGTTTTAATTCACATTTTCGATCATTTGTATCAATTTTTTATTAATCGGATGTGCATTTCACCACAATAATTCTCCTCAATCGACGCTACTCCAAACTACCAACTTCAAATGGAAGTTTTTATTATCACAAATATATACATGCAGAAAATGACACTCCGAGAGAAAAAAAGGCTTCGATAGGATCAAAGTTAGTCTGAATTGGAAAAAAAAAATAGAAAAACATATACATTGGTGACAACAACATGCCCTAACTAAAGTCTATTGTACTTTTCAATTTTTCAATGTACAAACATAAAAGGCATTCTAATTAATTTCTTTTCAAATTTTTCTTCTTCTTAATTTCGAAGGATGACAAAACAGAAGCTTGCAAATTAGTTTGGCAAAAGTAAACCTGCATTTTTTTTAAAGAGATTTGGGATATTAGTTAAATTTCAGATTTTGGAAACTTCCCTTAAAATCATCTGATGTATGTGACTGAAAGCGCTAAAAAAAAAGGTAAATTATTTATTTACAAGCAGACTATAAGAAAGTTGCATAACTTTTCTAAAACACAAAGAAACAAACTTAAGAGCAAAAGTTTAGGCTTCTTATGTAAATATGTCTAGTGGACAATTAATGAATGGATGAAGCACTCGAATGTGCATGTTTAGCTTTTTTGTAATTTCGACAAACGAAGAGTTTTATTTCAAAAACGCGATATACGTCATTTTGTTCCCTTTTAGAATCTTGCTCTCTGCTGGCTGCCCAAAAGCAATGTCGTGGCTGTTTTATACTGCAACTTAAGAATACAATAAGGCAAAAAATGAAGTCTAAAAATAGCTGTTATACTGTTTTTATTCTTTAAAGTTTTATAACCTTGCAAATTGTCACCTGTTTCAAATTGATATGCCGCGTTTTAGAAATACATTTTTTCAAATAACTTTTATGAAATGTCGGTATTTGTGATTAACTTTACATTAATTGAAGAAAAAAAATCTTTCTATGGTACGATTTATGAAACCCGAAGAAACTACTTTTTCATAATGCTTCTATAGCTGCTGTCCACAAGCGTAGTCCACTGGATATCTACAAAAGTTGACCTTTCAGTTTTATCGCATCCAAACGAGAATACGAAACGAGAACTTAAGAAGATACAAAAAGAGACCTATTTTTATGCGTATTTTTCTTCTTTATGTTATTTGATTAAGGCACATTCTACGTCCCTTAAGTTGACCCCCTTAAAAACAAACAAGCATGTTATAAAAAAAGTTTCTAAAAAGAAATAAAGAACACTAGTGCGACACTATTCTGGCCGCAATCCAAGCCAGGAGGACGACGGGAAGACTAAAGGTCACCGCGCGTGCGCTGTTGCACATGTTCCTGTTACAGCAGCGGACGCAGTCCTGGTGTTCTTCGTTCCCAAAGCAACCGGGTACGCAGTCCGTTTCCCTCTCGTAGCATCCGCGGAAGATCAGAGTTTCTTTGTAGGCAGTGTGGGTAATCCGACGATCCTGCACGGTCAAAAGAAACAAAATATACAGGGTGAGTCATAAAAACCGAAAGACAAATGTCGGGACTATTGTTTAGGTGAAATTCTGCAAGCAGCGCTTTAAAAATCTAGGATATGAAAGCCGAAATCCTAAGCTTTCTTTTAGTACAAGAATCATTCATATCACTTATGTACTTTTCAAGTTACGGAATTTTAAACATAACCACCGTTTTAAAGCTCTGTCCAAGGATCACAAAAAGGTGTGCGTTCTTTTAGCAAAACCCAATGTGATTTGTTTTCGTTTTGCTGAAAGAACACTTAACTTCTTGTGATCCGTGGACAGAACTTTAAAACGGTTGTTGTGTTAACAATTCCGTAACTTGAAAATTACATGAGTGATTTGAATGATTATTGTACTGAAAGAAAGCCAATATATGAATTGGGTCCCGACATGTGGGTTTCGGGTTTTTTACTGCACCTGGGGCGGCGGAACCGGGGGGGGGGGGCGGGGGGCACTGTACCCCACCCAACCCCAGATTTTCCCAGGCTAACAAAGGTGCCCCTCTTGCGGTTTTAAATGTGCCCCTTCGAGATGAAAACAAAACTGCCCCTCAAACGCATACGTATGAAAGCATAATGTGGATCGCGCTACAAATAAAAATGTCTCCTGTCTTGTAATGCAAAACTGCCCCTCAAAAACACAAGTACCCCTCTCGCATTAACAAGATTGTTCACCTTTTGGAGATGGAAAACTATCCCTCGAAAGCACAAATACCACTCTCGCAATAATAAAATTGTGCCCCTCTCGAGATGGAAAATTAGCCTTCAAAAACAATCCGATAACTTCTCGAGATGGAAAACTGCCCCTCGAAAGTACAAGTGTCCCGCTCGCAACATTAAAACCTTTTATTGTGATTCAATGTTTTATAATGGTATGATGATGGTGTCGCACATAATGACGACGACACCAATGGCGTCAATGGCCACCGATGACGAGGACATCCTTTGTCACAACTCACATAGCAGACGCCGCTACATTTGCCGACATACACCCCAGGGTTGTCCGAGCTGACGTCGATGGGGTTGGCCGGGTCATCTGGGTCTCGGGGCTCACAGTACGGATTGGCCGTGCACTTGAAGCAGTACATGGCGGCGCTGCTGACACCTAGAGGTTAGAGGTCAGAGGTTAGAAATCCTTTATACAGGGTGGTGCTAAAAGAAGGAAACCCAAATTGGGCAGCAATTTTAACCTCCTTACTTGAACTGTATTTTTTAATTAATGAAGTATAGCTCTTCAACCATACATGGTGAAAACAAAAAATCTTTTAAAAATTCGCAAGAATAGTGTTATCATGCTAATTTGAATACAAGTCACCAAAATCAGTGCTGTCCACGTGTAAGTCTAGTGAAGTGTTTTTTTTTGTCATCAAATCAAGCTCCGGAGCTCAGTCAAGCGGATGGAATAAGCCGTCCGTCGACAAACGTGGCACATGGAATTTTGAAACTACCATATCTCAGAGATAATGCATTTGCAATCATTTTTTGTCGTCATTTGGGTTTAAAGATCAAAAATTTAATACCATTACATTGAATTTTGAAATATGTCCATAAACAAGTAGGTGAAAATTGCTGTCAAAAGTGGGTTTCTTTGTTCTTGCACCACCCTGCATAGTATTCAGCGGTATCTCGATGATGAACACTCAGTGGCAGTTATTACTTTTAGGACCCCTCTATTTTTTCGCCGCTGCGATTTTGCGTCAGTTGTCAACCGAATGCTTCTCGCGAACTTGAATTCCTTTCAAAATAAAACCCTTCAGATATAAATCAAAAAGGGGAAAAAGCGTGCCTTCGACATTGTTAAAGATCAAAACACAGAGGGGTCCCAAAAGTATCTGATTCCCACACACGATTCCTGACAGTCTTGGTGTGATCTTGAAACAGTAGTGTCGTAAAAAGATGGGCAAATAAAGTTTGCGAGCAGAGCTCGGATGAGTGCGGCAGTGCGCATGCGCCTTAAGCACTCATATTTACCTTTGCTCGATCAATTAATATTAGAACACCAATGATGTACAGTGACAAACCAGGACGCTGTTAAAGTGTTAAGAGAAACAAAGTGCCCAGCCAAAAATAATAAAACCAGAAAACAATCAAGAAGAAGTAACTGAGTTTTTTAAGGCTTTATGAGGCTCACTTACCGATCAATGAGCACACCAGTGCCAGGAGAACAACAGACCGCGGCATCTTGTGTATTTTGTCCCCTTGATATGTGGTAAAAGGAAAGTCCTGCAAAGAGGGAATTGAATGAAACAGACGTAGTTTAAGTTAATATGTTTACTGGATTTCAAGTCGAAAGACAGTCCAGTTTTTTATTTCAATGGCTCCGCCAAAATTTACCAGCACGGCGCTAGAGCGCGGCGCCATAAATTTGTTCCTTTTTGACATTGGGGAAAAAACAGTGAAGGACCTATATATATTTCAAATTCGCCCCCACAAACTGAGTTTTTATTCAATGATGATTGAAACAAATTTCTGAAAAGCCATCAAATTAAGTTTATAAATGTGCTTAAAATAACTTGTACCATCTATCACGCTTAATTAGAGAATCGCGTCAAAACGAAACAAATGTAAAACACATTTCTTTTGAAACTATATGTGGCAGCAATCAAAATATGAATATTCAACCCCCATCTTCGTCAGCTTTTTTAAAATTGTTATTATCAAATTTCTTAGTTGCCTTGCATTTTGAAAGTCAAATAATTGTACATTAGCCTTTGTATACCAGAATAAACATGCGTATGACAATATACATATACAAAATATGGTAATTGTACGACATGTCATGAAGTAATGTATATTATCAAGAATAAACAGAAAACATATAGTCAAGTTTGAAGGCCAAACTTTGCCCAGTGGAGATTTGAAGACGGTCCCTGCATGACTGCCATTGTTGACTTAGGTCGCGCAAGGTACAAACCCGCACCACTGCTTGGCGCGTAGTTGAGCTATGACTGGTATATAATATTACACGGTGTGACTAGTAATCTAGTTAATTATTAACTAGCCTAGTAAAGAATGCGAGTTGAGTGTATTTGGCCCTAGCTGATTTTATTAAGCAGTTTGTTTAGCAAGAACGTGTCCATAACGGATGATAGGTTGTTTTATAAACAATAATTCTGTTTCATGTTATTCTGAACTTAATTTTGTGATGATTCCTATATCATATTCAGATTTACCCATATCATGGGAAACCGATTTATGGTTTTTGTTCTTCACTTTCAAGGAATTCAGACAATTTAAATATTTGTTTTAAACTTAATTAAAGAAATAAGACTATTGAAAGAATTTTGAAATCAATTTATACAAAAAAAAATCACCCAAGTTTTCAAAAGTATCTTTATCATCTTCCCCTTTTCTCTTCCATTTTTTTTTTAATTACTTTGTTCTTGGACATTTATCCAAAGTTTCCATGGTTTTTTTTTACATGACTGCCTATGTTCTTGATCAAACCTTTGACATCGTCTCAAGATCCAGTCAATGAATGTTGCGGTTCTAAGTTTATGGACGTCAAGACCAATAATCAAGTTTAGTTCAGACATAATTTGAAGGCTTCAAAATTATTCCGAAGCAAAATGTGAAGCCAAAGCCTAAGTATTAAAAAATACATCACATTTTTGTTTTTCTAATTGAGAGGAGTGACATTGTCGATTTTGATAAACAGCCATTTGACCCAACATGACCTTTGACTTAACATCAAGGTTAAAACAATCCTGATTTTCTTTTTCAAGCTTTGAAAAATCAGGAAAATTTCCAAAATGTCTGCACAACGGCGTATATATGCCTACCTCCACGACATCAAAATCACATGCATCCTTTGAAATGAGAATGACTGTATAAAAACCAGCTGAGTTTTGAAAACAAACATCGAATGCCCCTTTATCTTCGAGGAACGTATAGGTCTGTTTAACTCTATAAAAAGCAAAAAGCAAACCAAAAGAAAATGTATAAATCTTAAATTGGCAAGAAAAAGGTGCAGATGTTAGAATTTCTGAAAAAGGTCTTTGCCAATCGATGTTTGCGTACAATTTTAATGTTGCGGCCCCCATGAGAATCAAGACCCCCCAAACCATTAGTTTTAAAATCGGAAACCAACACTACCACAAGAAATTAAAAGTTAATCCGACTTACCTGAATAGAACAGAAATAACCAGCAATTTCAGCTTTACATCCTTCAAAATCTCACATGAAACAGACGATTTTCATGTCATAAACTCCAAACAAAATGGACGGTGGACGCCTTTGCTGTTTCGTTGTAAAGCGATCAAAGTCCAAAGTTATGATTTGGTTGGACAAACATTGAGTATTGTCGGGAGAGGGCGCTATAATAGGGGTGCGGACCAGACTCTTGCGCAAACCAGCAAATGCAGTAGTCGACTCAAAAAATTTGTTGCTTTTCAATAAACAGATGAAATTTTGCCCTAATCTTCGAAATTTCAGCAGAAATTTTAAGGCCTATACCCCTTGCAGGAAAGATGCATACAGGACTCCAGAACACATTCTAACTCTATTTTTGATTAGATACGGCATTCAAAAAATGATTGCTTCGAAAATTTGGGGGAAAATCAGTCAAAAATGTTGGTTTCTTTTCAATAAACAGATGAAATTTTGCCCTAGTATTGGAAATTTTAGCAGTTTAAGCAGCCAAATTTTATTAAAAAGGTAAGGCTAACCCCTTGCTTTTTTTTGAATTTTGGCCAAAAAATAAAATTGCTTCAAAAGTTCTTGCAGGAAAGATGCCGAATGGACCCTAGAACACATTCCAATTCAATTTCTGGACGGATGGACATTTCAAAGGAATTTCTGTATTTTTAGGATAATATCAATTTTTGATCAAATTTGATTGAAAATGTAAGGCTAACCCCTTGTATTTTTTTGAAATTTGGCCAAAAAATTAAGTTGCTTCAAACTTGCAGACAAGTTGCCTAAGGGACCCTAGAACACATTCCAATTCGATTTCTGGACGGATGCACATTTCAAAGGAATTTCTCGGTTTTTAGGATAAAATCAATTTTTGATCAAATTTGATTGAAAATGTAAGGCTAACCCCTTGTATTTTGTTTGAATTTTGGCCAAAAAATAAAATTGCTTCAAACTTGCAGACAAGTTGCCTAAGGGACCCTAGAACACATTCCAATTCGATTTCTGGACGGATGCACATTTCAAAGGAATTTCTCGGTTTTTAGGATAAAATCAATTTTTGATCAAATTTGATTCAAAATGTAAGGCTAACCCCTTGCATTTTTTTGAATTTTGGCCAAAAAATGAAATTGCTTTAAACTTGCAGGAAAGATGCCTAATGAACCCTGGAACACATTCCAATGCGATTTGTGGACAGATGGACATTTCAAAGGAATTCCTGTATTTTTAGGTTAAAATCAATTTTTGACCAAATTTTATTCAAAATGTAAGGCTAACCCCTTGCATTTTTCTTTGAAATTTGGCAAACAAATAAAATTGCTTCAAACTTGCAGGAAAGATGCCTAATGGACTCTAGAACACATTCCAATCCGATTTCTGGACGGATGCACATTTCAAAGGAATTTCTGTATTGTTTGGAGAATAGTACATTTTTTGCCAAATTTCATTAAAAAGGTAAGGCTAACCCCTTGCATTTTTTTGAATTTTGGCCAAAAAATAAAATTGTTTCAAACTTGCAGGAAAGATGCCGAATAAACCATAGAACACATTCCAATTTGATTTCTGGACGGATGGACATTTCAAAGGAATTTCTGTATTTTTAGGATAAAATGATTTTTTGATCAAATTTGATTGAAAACGTAAGGCTTACCCCTTGTATATTTTTTTGAATATTGGCCAAAAAAATAAAATTGCTTCAAACTTGCAGGAAAGATGCCTTATGGACACTAAGACACATTCCAATTCGATTTTTGGACGGATGGACATTTCAAAGGAATTTCTGTATTTTTAGGATAAAATGATTTTTTGACCAAATTTGATTGAAAAAGTAAGGCTTACCCCTTTGAATTTTTTTTAAATTTTGGCCAAAAAATGAAATTGCTTCAAACTTGCAGGAAAGATGCCGAATGGACCCTGGAACACATTCCAATTCGATTTCTGGACGGATGGACATTTCAAAGGAATTTCTGTATTTTTAGGATAATATCAATTTTTGATCAAATTTGATTGAAAATGTAAGGCTAACCCCTTGTATTTTTTTGAAATTTGGCCAAAAAATTAAGTTGCTTCAAACTTGCAGACAAGTTGCCTAAGGGACCCTAGAACACATTCCAATTCGATTTCTGGACGGATGCACATTTCAAAGGAATTTCTCGGTTTTTAGGATAAAATCAATTTTTGATCAAATTTGATTGAAAATGTAAGGCTAACCCCTTGTATTTTGTTTGAATTTTGGCCAAAAAATAAAATTGCTTCAAACTTGCAGACAAGTTGCCTAAGGGACCCTAGAACACATTCCAATTCGATTTCTGGACGGATGCACATTTCAAAGGAATTTCTCGGTTTTTAGGATAAAATCAATTTTTGATCAAATTTGATTCAAAATGTAAGGCTAACCCCTTGCATTTTTTTGAATTTTGGCCAAAAAATGAAATTGCTTTAAACTTGCAGGAAAGATGCCTAATGAACCCTGGAACACATTCCAATGCGATTTGTGGACAGATGGACATTTCAAAGGAATTCCTGTATTTTTAGGTTAAAATCAATTTTTGACCAAATTTTATTCAAAATGTAAGGCTAACCCCTTGCATTTTTCTTTGAAATTTGGCAAACAAATAAAATTGCTTCAAACTTGCAGGAAAGATGCCTAATGGACTCTAGAACACATTCCAATCCGATTTCTGGACGGATGCACATTTCAAAGGAATTTCTGTATTGTTTGGAGAATAGTACATTTTTTGCCAAATTTCATTAAAAAGGTAAGGCTAACCCCTTGCATTTTTTTGAATTTTGGCCAAAAAATAAAATTGTTTCAAACTTGCAGGAAAGATGCCGAATAAACCATAGAACACATTCCAATTTGATTTCTGGACGGATGGACATTTCAAAGGAATTTCTGTATTTTTAGGATAAAATGATTTTTTGATCAAATTTGATTGAAAACGTAAGGCTTACCCCTTGTATATTTTTTTGAATATTGGCCAAAAAAATAAAATTGCTTCAAACTTGCAGGAAAGATGCCTTATGGACACTAAGACACATTCCAATTCGATTTTTGGACGGATGGACATTTCAAAGGAATTTCTGTATTTTTAGGATAAAATGATTTTTTGACCAAATTTGATTGAAAAAGTAAGGCTTACCCCTTTGAATTTTTTTTAAATTTTGGCCAAAAAATGAAATTGCTTCAAACTTGCAGGAAAGATGCCGAATGGACCCTGGAACACATTCCAATTCGATTTCTGGACGGATGGACATTTCAAAGGAATTTCTGCATTTTTAGGATAAAATCAATTTTTGATCTAATTTGATTGAAAATGTAAGGCTAACCCCTTGCATTTTTTTGAATTTTGGCCAAAAAATAAAATTGCTTCAAACTTGCAGGAAAGATGCCTAATGGACCCTAGAACACATTCGAATTCGATTTCTGGACGGATGGACATTTCAAAGGAATTTCTGTATTTTTAGGATAAAATCAATTTTTGATCAAATTTGATTGAAAATGTAAGGCTAACCCCTTGTATTTTTTTTGAATTTTGGCCAAAAAATAAAATTGCTTCTAGCTTGCAGGAAAGATGCCTAATGGACATTAAGACACATTCCAATTCGACTTTTGGACGGATGGACATTTCAAAGGAATTTCTGTATTTTTAGGATAAAATCATTTTTTGACCAAATTTGATTGAAAATGTAAGGCTAACCCCTTGTATTTTTTTTGAATTTTGGCCAAAAAATAAAATTGCTTCAAACTTGCAGGAAAGATGCCTAATGAACCCTGGAACACATTCCAATGCGTGGACAGATGGACTTTTCAAAGGAATTCCTGCATTGTTTGGAGAAACATTCATTTTTGGCCAAATTTGATTCAAAATGTAAGGCTAACCCCTTGTATTTTTTTGAATTTTGGCCAAAAAAATAAAATTGCTTCAAACTTGCAGGAAAGATGCCTAATGGACCCTAGAACACATACCAATTCGATTTCTGGACGGATGGACATTTCAAAGGAATTTCTGCATTTTTAGGATAAAATCAATTTTTGATCTAATTTGATTGAAAATGTAAGGCTAACCCCTTGCATTTTTTTGAATTTTGGCCAAAAAATAAAATTGTTTCAAACTTGCAGGAAAGATGCCGAATAAACCATAGAACACATTCCAATTTGATTTCTGGACGGATGGACATTTCAAAGGAATTTCTGTATTTTTAGGATAAAATCAATTTTTGATCAAATTTGATTGAAAACGTAAGGCTAACCCCTTGTATATTTTTTTGAATATTGGCCAAAAAAATAAAATTGCTTCAAACTTGCAGGAAAGATGCCTTATGGACACTAAGACACATTCCAATTCGATTTTTGGACGGATGGACATTTCAAAGGAATTTCTGTATTTTTAGGATAAAATCATTTTTTGACCAAATTTGATTGAAAAAGTAAGGCTTACCCCTTGCATTTTTTTGAATTTTGGCCAAAAAATGAAATTGCTTCAAACTTGCAGGAAAGATGCCTAATGGACCCTAGAACACATTCGAATTCGATTTCTGGACGGATGGACATTTCAAAGGAATTTCTGTATTTTTAGGATAAAATCAATTTTTGATCAAATTTGATTGAAAATGTAAGGCTAACCCCTTGTATTTTTTTTGAATTTTGGCCAAAAAATAAAATTGCTTCAAGCTTGCAGGAAAGATGCCTAATGGACATTAAGACACATTCCAATTCGACTTTTGGACGGATGGACATTTCAAAGGAATTTCTGTATTTTTAGGATAAAATCATTTTTTGACCAAATTTGATTGAAAATGTAAGGCTAACCCCTTGTATTTTTTTTGAATTTTGGCCAAAAAATAAAATTGCTTCAAACTTGCAGGAAAGATGCCTACTGAACCCTGGAACACATTCCAATGCGTGGACAGATGGACTTTTCAAAGGAATTCCTGCATTGTTTGGAGAAACATTAATTTTTGGCCAAATTTGATTCAAAATGTAAGGCTAACCCCTTGTATTTTTTTGAATTTTGGCCAAAAAAATAAAATTGCTTCAAACTTGCAGGAAAGATGCCTAATGGACCCTAGAACACATACCAATTCGATTTCTGGACGGATGGACATTTCAAAGGAATTTCTGCATTTT